TGTTACATCTGCCTTTATGTGTTAGAAGATGAGGCCCGTTGTGGGCCACATCAGCCTTTATCTTTAAAAACTACAATGGTATTTTGAAGAAACTTATCCATGGCACAAAAAACAGAAGTAAAGAATTAATCAAGAAATTAAGAGTTGCGTGTGGAATTCAAATTTTGAAAAACAAAGTGAGGGAACTTAACAGTGACACATTGCACCATGATGACTTTGAACTCCTAAATGAGCATGCTGCTTTTATTTTTTCACGTGAAGAGCGTTCTCTGTTGATGAGTAATGGCATTGTTAAAAGTGTTGCCGTCTTCGCTCGTGCCAAAAAGAAAAGAGATTGTTACACTTCACTGATATATTCTAGAGAAAAGAAGCGCAACAACTACACAATACGATTTGAAAGTGCAAATAATGTCTGTGGTTATGGAGAAATTAGATTTTTTGTCTCCTGCGAAAAAGAAACAGATGTGAAGTATTCGTATGCTGTCATTCAATTGTTTCAGGTAGAGCACTCTAAAATATTTTACCATGAAGAAAGCCGTATAAAACTGACTCACATTATACCTGTAATAAGTTCAGCTGAATTAATTATTGTTGACATAAAGATCATCAACCTGTTAAAGGTTGTGAGAGTAGGTAATTTTGTATGCCTTTTTCCAAATAAATTTGAAACAAACCTGTAGATTTAGCGCATTCTTTTATTGTATCTTTAGTTTTTGTAACATTGAAATAAATATCTTTATTCAATGTCGTACAGTTGGGAACTTTGAGTGTGCTATGCTTAGAAAACAATTTAATTATACCATTTATTTTGTTGCACTCTGTTATTTCTTATTTTCATTTCTTTTTATAATATGTGGTAGTAATTATCTACTGCGGCTTTGTATAACTTTGATCTTAAAATATGTACATATATAGCGGACTGAATAAATACACTGCTGGTTTATTCCCAGATCTTTTGTATTATTCTGTCCAACTTTGAATTGCTCAATATGCTCCATTATTTTAAATTTATATTTTGTTAACACAGACGTAGATTGTGCCATGCATGACAGAATCCCACAGCTTGTTATAGACTCAAATTATTTTGTATACCGTATATAATTATCTTTTTGTAAAAATCAACAAAAAATTAATGACAACATATACTACTGTATTGTAATAAAAATCTATAAAATATGAAATTTAATCTATACAGCTTAATTTTCCAATTATTAACTTTTCATAATTTTTCCAACATCAAATTAATATTCAACATTAGTCTAACTTTTTAATTTGAATCAAATATTTACATGTTAAGTTCGACAAATAAGGAAACAAATTTTACCGCAAATATTATTTAAACAAAAATACGTTTTCATAAGAATCAAATTAGAACCAAATTTGAGTTAAAGCTGCAATTAAATCGAATAAAAGTCGCATACAGAACATATTAACTTTTTATTAAAATCTTATATATAAATATTCTGCATCATGTATGGTTCTGGATCATATATAATCCATATAAGTTATCTTATTAAATAAAAATTAAAACCATATTTGATTCGAAGTGTTATATGATCCACATAAATGATCTAATTAAATGTAAATTAAAGCCCTATTTTATTGTGGATCATATTTAATCTACATAACTAATTTTAATAAGTGCAAATTAAAACTGTATTTAAATAAATATAATTTTAATATAAAATCTGGAATTAATTTGAATTTTACCCAAATTTAATATGATTTAATATGATTTTAGTTAGATTCATATTAGATCGTTTTTCGCGGGTATACGTGACGGTCATGCCTCACAAAGTTTATATCTGTTTTCCATCCGCCTTGTTAAAACGTAACGATGATTAATTTTATATTGTTTGACGCACATTGATCCATGTAAGTAGAATACGTAATTTGCATTGTTCTTTTTTTTATATGTATTACCGGCAATTTATATTTTTCAGCATAAACTTGATAAGGACCCAAAATAGAGGTCGAAACGTCGTTATAATTTTTAATATATTGCCAGTCAGGCCGATCATTAAACACTGATTTTATTTTATTACTGGCAAAAATTTATTTTATTCTTTGATACTTTTAGTCAGATTCGGATGCCAGCAGAAAAGATCTAAAAAGACTTTTGAATGATGCCAAAGATGATGCAGAGGTTATATTGTCAAGTAACGAGTTCCAGAGATAAATTGCAGAGATTTGGAAAGAGTTCCTGTATGTTACCGTTTTGTGGGCAGGAATGTGGAAGGCCTGAGTGGAAGCAGCCAGACGTTCGGATCTCCTCAGCAGAGGATCGGGTTCAGTAAAAAGCTCACAAAAATAAGAAGGAGATCGCATATGGAGGATACGATACATCTGGCAGCTCATGAAGTAAAGCCTCCTATTTTCGACACGGAGTTATCGCAGTCTTCGCCTGTACGGTGTTATATGCTCATCGCGCCTGAGATTGAATATAAATCTGATACAGCAATTTACTAGCCTCTGTAATTTAGTGATTAATTCATCCGTCATACTGTGATAAACTAGACAGCAATAATCATTGTGAGGTATTATGAGGGTAACAACCAGTTTTGTCTTCAGCGCTATTGAGAGAGAATTTCTGTTGAATTTGAGACTGTAAAGTGCTCGATGAATCTTTTGAGAAACATGGATGACATGCTTCTTCCAAGAAAGATCGGACGTAAAGATAACACTAAGGTTCTTGACTTCACTCACAAAAGGTATTGGCGTATTATTGATCACTACTGGCTGTAGGAGATTCAGATTAATCTTTCCAATATGTGCTCGACTACCAAACACAATAATCTTGGATTTGCTCGGGTTGAGCTTAAGACCGTTTGACTCAGCATAATCGAATATGGCCTTGGCATCCCTTGTAATCATTTCAAGACCACGATTTATGTCGACCGGTGCACATGAAAGATAAGCTTGAACATTGCCTGCAAAAAGCATATGATACGTATGTAGCAAAACACGATAAATGTCGTTGATATAGAAAGAAAACAATAGAGGATCAAGCACGGAGCCCTGCGGTACTCCAGATGACGTGAATAGCCACTCAGATAAGTTTCCAACGTCGTCCACCACTGCCTGAGATCGGCCTGTCAGGTAAGAGAAAATCCACATTATAGCCTCGTCAGAGAAACCGAACTCTTTCAGCTTTATACAAAGTTGAAGGTGTGGAACGGTGTCAAATGCTTTGCTGAAGTCAAATAGTATCATTATAGTAATATGGCCGTTATCAATCGCGCGCTTGATATCATCACAGACCCTTAAGAGAGCAGACTGGGTGTTGTGACCCGAACGGTAAGCAGACTGTCTGGGATTTATTAGATGGAATTCATCTAGATATTGTGTAATCTGTGAGGCGACAATTTTTTCGAGGATTTTCGACAGTTCCGGCAGATTCGCTATTGGTCTCGTGTCAGATGGAGACTGTGGGTTTCTAATTTTCGACTGTGGGCGAATTAGTGTTCGCTTCTATTTCGATGGGAACATGGAAGTTTCCAATGATCGGTTGAACATTACGGTGATCACTGAGGAAGCCACTGGCCAAGCAATACGCAGAACGTGCAGCGGAATGCCGTCCGAACCTGACGCGTAGGAATGCAGAGGTGCGGTCATGAGAAGTTTATGTCACATGGGAGCACAGCAGAGAATTTGAATAGCGGTCGCGATGCTGGTCGAGGAATCTGGGTTGCAACAGCAACGACAAGTTCTGCCCGTGAGCATGGCTGCAGAGCTTTAGAGACTGACACAAAGTACGCATTCAGCTGATCTGGCGTAAAAAAGCGTAGCGGAGAGACTTGTGTCTGCTTTACTAGACCAAGTCGTGCAAGTTCTCTCCATAGTTTAGCCGAGTCAGTGATTTTGACAAGTGAATTGTAGTGGAATTCGTTCTTTGCTCGCTTGATATCCACATTGAGCTGATTCCTAAAGTGTCTATAGGCGGTGTAGTCGAGTAAACAGCCCGAACGCTTGGCCTGCCTGTACATTGTGTTTCGGGTGTTAAGACGCGTCTTGAGATCATCTGATAGCCATTGCGTCGGTGGCTTCCGCACCACAATCACACGTGTAGGAGCCTGGGCATCGAGTGTTTCGGTCATGGCGTCCGACAGCGCAGCACAGAGACCATCGGCATATTGACCCTCATCTGCTTCCGTAATGGTCCGGATACGTTCGAGGTATCTAGGATTGTTCATAATAGACCCAAGGCAATTACAGAACTCGTCGGCATCGATGTCTTTAAAATTACGCCTTACAATAGAGCGTTTAGTATCAAAAACTGTGCCAAGTGAGAGTCTTAATTCCATTAGATCGTGACCAGTGATAAACGGACTATCAGATTTGGTCAGCCGCAGAATCTTGTCGCTGTCATCCACAGCCAAAACGTCAAGCCGCGAGTCAGCAGTGGCCGTGTGGTATGTAGCCCCAGTATTCACAATGTTCATTGAGATGCTGGACATTAGGTCGCGCAAGTGGTTGGCTTTAAAATTGGTCGACAAGAGGTTACAATTCAGGTCACCACCGATGATGATGTTTTTGTACATATGTGAGGCACTCGCAAGTGTTTCGACGAATTCATGTAGGAGAAGACCCTTGGGTCTTCTATAGACCGACGCAAATAATACCGCCTCATTGTTTGGTAGACGAATCTCAATAATCAAATACTCCGGAGAGTTAAAATCAACATTTGGAGAAACAGCTATAATTTTAGCCTTAAGTGAGTCGTGAACGAAGCAGGCGACACCTCCACCTCGTCTACCTTCACGATCATGACGAATGAGGAAATAGCCATCCAAGGCCACAAGTGCATCAGAAACATCAGAGTGCAGCCATGTTTCAGATATCGAAATTACGTGAACAAGGTTAGACGCAAACTGCACTCTGATTAAATCAATATGCCCTCGTAGTGAATTGGCATTAAATTGGGCTACACAAAGCTGAGACGAGTTTATAAGTAATTTTCCGTGATTGGTAGGAGGCAATTTGCTGTTATCATGGTCAAGTCAAACTAATTTCACGAGATCTGATTCTGAATCAATGTTAATGATGGGCTTGCCTTCCAAGAGTCTAATACTAATACGTCTGCTCTTCATCCAAACAAATTTATATGACTTGTCCTTGGCCGTGCGCCCGGTCAGTTGCAGCAAATCATATGTGGCCTTGGATAGCATTTCATTTACATGTATATTGCGATTGGAATCATTTCCACAGACCTTGCTCTGTTTGAGCTCCCGCTTTGCACGCGCCTTCAATAAAACTGTTCGCTGAACAGCGCCAGAGGACAGGGTGACAGCAATAGAGCCAGTCTCGTCCGTTCGCGGGGGACAATCCGGGCCCACCGCCTTGTGTGTCTTCCGCACCATAGGTCTAACATTCAAAATATGACATGAGAGATCCTTTACGTCAAGCGATTCAAATACATTCTGAACCAACCTAGCCGGTGTGATCGGTAAAGCCGCAGGCACTCCCGATATGACTAGCTCATTATCGATATGCTTGTCAGTCGTGGAGATCGACTGAGCCGATCTTAGATTTCTGAACTCTCCGACTTCACGCTCTAATGCAGAGACAGTTTGTTCAAGTTCAACGATGCGTTTGCTGTTTTGTGACGCTATGTCCGCGATACGACTAAGATCGCTGAGCTTGTCCGTAATTTCCTTGTTGGTACGCTGTTGACTCTCTATAAATCCAGCCAATCTATCTCCCAGACTCTGCAGCAGCTCATTCGTCGTGGCTTGCAGGCTCAATTGAGTACGGGAGTCGACAGAAAAGGCCATGTTTTCAAAATTGAATGTTTGCGCGCTATTTTCAGTTCCCGGTGTGAGAGGAGGTATGTCTAATGACGCTAATAAGGATCTACAGCAAGTGTCCGCGTATCTAGTTACTGAAAACGACCTGACGCAACCAGGATGAAATACCCTTCTGCACTCCTCTCTTTGCACTCCTCTATGCAGAGACTCTAGATAATATCCCTTCTGCACTCCTCTCTGAGAGAGAAAGAGAGAAAGGGAGAGGGAGAGGGAGAGGGAGAGGGAGAGGGAGAGGGGGAGAGAGAGAGAGAGAGAGAGATGATATGGTATGATATGGTTTATTTATGCCCAAGCATAGGCTAAAGGGCAAATACAGAATAATACAAATAACAAAATTATACATGCTCTCTCTAGCACATGTGCGTTCACATAAAGCATGATAAATGAAACATAATCAAACATAACAGCGCAACTTAAGTAATAAAAACGCGCAACTTAAAATAAAAATATGTACATTATACTAAAACTAACTTACAACTAACGCAACTTAAGAACTAGCGCAACTTAAATCTAACAGAATAACGCAACGTAAACAAAAATACTAGAAGAAAAAGAATACTAAAGAAATACAAAAATAGGAAGTACGCAAAAACCAAAGAAGAAAGGAACAAAGACACGTCACTCCGATTCAGGTGAAAGCAAAAACATGCGAAGTAAGCTCTTAAATGATGTGAGAGACGAAGCTGATGTAACTGAGTTAGGAAGAGAATGCCAGAAGTAAATGGTAGAAAGCTGAAAAGAATTTCTGTAGGTGACGGTTCTATGAGCAGGCATGTGGAAAGTTAGAGTAGATGATGAAGCGAGCCGGTCGGACTTCCTTAGAGTAGGATCAGGGGAGGTAAAAAGTTCACGCAGGTATGATGGTGAGCTCATATGCAGGATACGATAAATCTGGCATCCAAGAAAGTAGTATCGTCTGTTTTCAACAGAAAGCCACTTCAACCTACGTCTATATGGGGTGATATGTTCATCACACTTAAGGTCATAGATAAACCGAATACAACAATTGACAAGTCTCTGTAACTTGGTATTTAGTTCCCTGGTCAAACCATGGTATACGAGGCAACAGTAATCGATATGCGGCAAAATCAAGGTTGTTACGAGCTTAATCCTGAGATTGGTGGAAAGAGAGTTTTTGTTATATTTCAAATTGTATAGCGCATGATGGACCTTCTGCGAAACCAACGAGACCGTTCGTCCAGGATAAGTTGGACATGAAGATGACACCCAAATTCCGTACCTCACTCACAAATGGTAAAGGCGTATTGTTTACAACGATAGGTGGTATACTGCCAAGATCAATGTAATTCACATATGCTTGACTGCCAAATATGATCACCTTAGATTTGGCAGGATTTAGCTTAAATCCGTACGTATTAGCATAATCAAAAATAGCATTAGCATCCTTAGTGATTAATTCTAGAGCCTGAAGAATATTAGCAGGTGAACACAAACGATAAATCTGAATATCATCAGCGAAAATCATATGAAACACATAACGTAAAATTTTATATATATCGTTAATATACAAAGAAAACAGCAGAGGACCAAGCACCGAACCCTGAGGGACACCAGAAGAAGTAAATATCCAGTCGGAAAGATTGCCAGCGTCGTCTATGACCGCCTGAGAACGGCCAGTTAGATAAGAGAAAATCCAGTTTAGAACGGCATCTGAGAAACCGATCTCTTTAAGTTTGATAAGCAATAGTAAATGGGGAACGGTGTCGAATGCTTTGCTAAAATCAAAAAGTATCATAATAGTGATAAGCCCTTCATCAATCCCCTGTTTTATATCATTACAGATACGTAGAAGTGCTGACTGCGTGTTATACCCCGGGCGATATGCAGACTGTCTTGGATTTAAGATATCATGTTTATTTAGATAGTCAACAATCTGTGAAGCAACTACCCTCTCTAATAGTTTAGACAGTTCCGGCAAATTTGCTATTGGTCTCGTATCCGACGGGGATAGCGGTGTACGAATTTTAGAGAGTGGGCGAATATATGCTCTCTTCCACTCAGACGGAAACAGAGATGCATCTAGAGATCGATTAAACAAAAAAGTGATACATGACGAGATAACGGGCCATGAGATACGCAGAACATAAAGCGGAATGCCATCGGAACCAGAGGCATAAGAGTGAATAGATTCAGCAGTAATAAGCTTAGAAACAGATCGAGGTGAGATAGAGGAGAAAACGAACTCTGGATAAGATGGACGATTACCTGAAGCAATAGCAGCGATGAAGTCAGAATATAAGCATGGAGAATGAGCATTGGAAACCGAAACATAGTATAGGTTGAGCTGATCCGGTGTGAAGAAGTGTAGAGGAGAAGTAAGAGACGACTTGACAAGTCCAAGTCGAGCCAGTTCTCTCCACAGTTTTGCTGAATTCGTAATCTTAGCAAGAGAATTGTAATGAAATTCACTCTTAGCACGCTTGATGTCAAAATTTAGCTGATTACGGAAAAGTCTGTAAGTAGCATAGCTTAAAAGACATTTAGAGCGTTTAGCGCGTTTATATAGCTGATTGCGAGTGTGTAATCGAGCAACCAAATCCGCCGTAAGCCATTGAACCGGGGGCTTATTGACAACAAACACACGTGTGGGAGCGAATGCGTCTAGTGCCGCCAACAAATTACGAGACAGCACCCCGCAGAATCCGTCAACATCAGCGATGTCAGACAATGCATCAATCTCGGCCCGCACGTCGCCAGCAATAGATTCAAGATGTTCAACGAACCGAGAACAATCGATACGTTTGTAGTTACGCCGAGAAATAAAGCGGTCAGAATTAGGATTAGCTTTAAGTGACATAGACAACTCTAAGAGATCGTGGCCGGCAATGAAGGGACTCTGAGATTTGGTAAATGATGAAACCTTATCAAGCTCATCTACGACCAAAACGTCCAACCATGAGTCTGAGGTCGCTGTATGATGAGTCGGTTCGGATCTGACTATGTGCAACGATAAGCTAGATACAAGCTCACGCAAGTAATTCGCCTCAAAATTAGTCGATGATAGATCGCAGTTTAAGTCCCCTCCAATAATTATATTTTTATACAGATGCGAGTATCTATTTAGTGACTCAACGAAGTCATGCAGGAGGAGACCTCTAGGTCTTCTATAAATGGACGCAAATAGTACAGATTCATCATTTGGCAAACGTAATTCAATAAGAAGATATTCAGGCGCATTATCACAAAGATTACTGGAGGTAGCTAAGATTTTGACTTTGAGCAATTTATGTATATAGCACGCCACCCCTCCGCCCATCCGTCCCACTCTGTCATGACGTATTAAAAAATAATCATCTAGAGCCACCAGCTCATCTGATACACTCGCATTGAGCCACGTTTCGGAAACAGAAATGATGTGGTGAAGACTAGTGCTGAAATGCAGCCTGATGAAGTCTATATGTCCCCGAAGAGAATTAGCTTTAAACTGAGCTATTCGAAACGACGTAAAATTGCGTATTGAATTATGCCGACCTATGGAAGACAAGGGGCACGCAGGTTGGACAAGTCAGACGAGCTTAGCAAGATCAGTGTCCGAGTTAATATTAATCACCGGCTCACCATCTGTACGCCTAACATGTATCTGGCCGTCCCTAACCCAGACATACTTGTATGACTTGTCCTTCGCAATGCGCTTCACCTGTTGCATCAAATTAAAAGTGCTTTTTGGCAACAGCTCATTTACATATACGTTACGATGTGAGCTGCCACCACACATCACTCTGTCTAATCGCACCCTTTGAACGCTTACTCGACAATACCGCATCGCGCACAACGCTCGAAGCCAAGGAGATAATGACGGAGCTCGAAGGTGAAGATACCGTGGGCACAGTAGAAGACGGTTCCCTCTTAACCAATCTGGTGTTAACGATATGGCAGGAGAGGTTAGGAACATCCAATGCCGCAAAAACATTTTTTGCAATCTCAGATGGAGTTGCTGACAAAGTAGAAGGCAAACCTGATACGATCAACTCGCTACCACTCTGAGTCACTTGAGTCGACCGAGCAGACCTCAAGTCTCGGACCTCGCGAACTAGATTAGCATTTTCTTGCTCCAGTTTGATAATGCGTTGACTGTTCTGAGAAACAGTATCGTTAAGACGATCTAAGAGACTTAGCTTGACGCTAATTTCTTCATTGGTACGCTGTTGACTATCAATAAATGCAAAGATTTTCGCATCCGTACTCTTGATCTGCTCGATCAGCCCGCGCAAAAGAGAGTCAGTGGACTCGTGCCTTATGTCCTGCGCACACGCAATGGACTGCGAGGCAACGACAACGCCAGACGCAGCATCACCATCCGAAGAAAAGAACGTACGGCGTTCATCTCTAGGTGTGAGCGGCATCTTCGAGAAATAAGACTTGCAACAGTCACTAGCGGACCGCGTAACAATGTATGACTTGACGCAACCCGGATGAAATGTCTTACAGCACACGGCACAAGAATAAGATTTACCGGCAATTAATTTTGTACACCTAGCGCACGTTGGTTGCATGTGTAGTCCAGTCACGCTATTCGGTAAAAGCAAGAATCCCTGGGCACGTCAGATGAAAATCACTAGGCACGTCCCCAGTCGTAGTACAGCTAGGGTGGCAACACTTGAGCATAGGTTAGGCAAAACACATGCGCGAATCCGAGTGAAGCAATAGAGAGGCGTAGAGAAGAGCGAAGCAGGAGCATGCGCAGTAGAGATCCACCGAGAAGGGAGCATGCACACATCAGATCCAGAGAGAGCAGATAGACACAGCAGGCGCATGCGCAGCAGAGGTGAACGCCTTGCACAGGTGATTTCAAGAATTCCACGATGTCTCCGAGAATGAGGTTAGGACGAACAATGATACTTGTCACGAAAATATTCAAAATTAGGTAGCAATCTCCAAGGAAAAGAATAAAGCACGTGACAAGCAACCAAAAGACCTGCTTAAATCTGCAACAAAATATCCCAGAG